AGTAAGATCAGTATGGCTAAACTTGAAACATAACATGATATGTATTTATAAAATTAATGAGAATTTGCATATAATATGATACCTCAATATGAAGTGATGAAGTCTCGGCTTGATATAAAACTTGTTAACCAGCAAAAGGTTAGAAAGTAGTATAAAATTTCAAACCAAAACTGTTTAATTGCCCGAATCCAAACGACTCGATAAAAAACCGATTTTTTGAAATCAAAAACAGACCCGAACCGTAATTTAGTAAACCGAACTAAAATAAAACTGAATCAAAAAAGAACCGAACCGTTTCTAACCCGAAACTGTTTGAACCTGGATAAAAACCGTTTACACCGAATTGTTAACAAACCGCAACCCGTCTACACCGAACCGTTTACAACCCGAACCGAATTTAAATCGGGATAAAAACCGTTTACACCGAACCGTTAACAAACCGCAACCCGTCTGCACCGAACCGTTTACTACCCGAACCGTTTACAACCCGAACCGGATTTAAACCGTTCAAGAATAAACCGAAACCGAATCGAACCGATAATTATTTAAACCGAACTGGAACCGACCCGTAAGACATTTGAACCGATTTTAAACCGACCCGATTTCAAACCGAACCGATTTCAAACCGAACCGGAACCGAACTGTAAAACCGTTTTGACAGTACTACTAACTACAATACAAAAACAGGGCTATAGTAAGACAAACATGAGAGAAAACTACTTCAATTAAACATGCAGAGCTAGTAGTACAAAAGCAGGAGAAAGAATCAGCCACTTTACTACAAATAATTGAATTAGACATCTCAACCAATATACTTCAATTAAACTTTATGAGAGCAGTAGTACAAAAACAGGAGAAAGTATAATCTCAACAATATACTTCAATACACAACCTTACCCCTAAACATTTCGAGTAGTGATATGATTCAAATAACAAATCAATATAGACCACCAACAAAGTATAATCTAGCAAATTCTCATAGCACTTTAACCTAAAATTGCAGGAAAAATGCGGAAAAAAGGTTACATCAATTAAGAAAAAAACTTTCAAATTCAAGCAAACAAAACTCGAATTTCATGACGATTATTTCAAAAAAAATGAACAATCTAACAATTATCAAATTGAAGTTGTAAAGTAGCAAAAATTCATATTGAAAAGTATGAAATAAAAAATAGAGATTAATGTGTGAAATTATATACCTGATTAGACGAATATATGAGCTAGAATTTGATATTGAAGGTCGATTTAAGGTCCAACAATGGCGAAAAATTACAAAGAAAAATAACAAAAATCGACGAAATGGAAATTAAAATAGGAAAAGTGACGAAAGGAAAAAATGGGAAAATGATAAAATGGTGGTAGTGGGAAAATGAAAAGGGGGACCGATTTCGGCGGGTAGGTTGTGGGGAGGGGGATTTCGGTAGACGAGGGTGGGGGCTGCGCTGCCGGCGGGTGGAGGGGATGGCAGCGGAGCTGAGAAAATGGTGGTAGTGGGTGGTGATACCGTGGTCGTGGGCGAGGGGCTGGGTTTTTTTTTTTTTTTTTTTTGTTTTATTATTATTTTTTCAACCAATTACGTAGTGACACATGTATCTTAAACCCAAAAAACAAATTTTACCTCTTTTATAGATTACCGGTTACTTAGGTCCAGTAAAAGCCCCCAAAATTCGAATTATTTAAAATAATTCATAGTTGGAATTATTTTGAATGAATCACCAAAATTAGAATTACTTTTAACAATTTTTCCAAAGAAATTTCAGAAAAGCTATCCTATTTTTGGGCTTATTGAAATTAAGTTATATTATGTACTAGTGGACTAGTGGATTTGTGATTTTGGTTGTAAGGTTTGTGACGGGATTATATGCCCTGTCATAAAACCCACCACAAAAGGGATGGGCTTTAAGCCTGTCAAGAAGAAGAAGAAGAAGAAGAAAAAGTTGATATTTCTGCTTAAGTTTGTATAAATGGCCAAATATAAGAAGCTGGCGTTATGATGATGATGATTAGCATCCTCTCCTCTTCATCTTTATATCATTTGTATGGGAATCTCCCACTTTTTTTTTTAATTAAATTTTCAGGTCACTTTAATTTTTGCTTGTCTAAAGTTTTTGCTACATTTTCTGATCCCACATGAGCTGTAGTTATACATTTTTATTTTGTCGTGGTTGAGGGAGAGAGACAAAGTTTAAAGACCTTTCAGATTTGATCATCTTCACATTTGCTACTCTTCTTTGCACGGCTTATCTCTCTTTTGTTTAATTCTGTAGGGCATGGTCCATCCGTATCTAAAAGGATCGGATACTCCGTAGTCAATACTCCATCAATCAATCCTTTTGTTCTCGTGTAGATCTGCATTTTATTTTCACTTATTTTATGTTAAACGCTGTTATGTATTTTATTTTTTTTAGATTCAACTGGATAATAATGATTATACTTCTTTTATTCCAGTTTACTTGCTACATTTTGACTAAACACGCTTGTCGATGCATATATTTAACTGTCAATATCCTTTATTATATATTTATAAAATGAAGAGATTTGCGGCCAGAAAACTAGAGAGAGAAACAGGAAGAAAAGAGAAGGAAATTTGGTGGGAAAATGTAATTTCTATTATTGCTCATCAAGCTTCAAAAGAAGCAAAAACTACAGTATATATAATATTACAAGGAGAAGAAACACAAAACTAACTAATGAAGATAAATAATAAGAATAGGACAGGATCACTAAGCTGGACAAACAATAGGATCGATGAGCTGGACATATTCTCAACATAAAAGTTATAAAAAGTTTATATTAAGAAACTATACATTAAAACAGACATAACAATATCTTAAATGATTACATTAGCTTTCATATAATAGCTAAAAAAGATGGTCAAAGTGAGATGTATGAATAATGCAAAAAGTCAAAACGTTGCAAGTAAATTGAAACGGAGGGAGTAGACAAAGTTTCATATGTGGCTTGTCATACCGTGTGGTTGGGATTACTCGGTCGTCAAGAGTTACTTGATCAGGGGTTACTCGGTTAGTGTTTTGGTGTGTGTCATTCGGTCACACGGTGTGGCTAGCCACACATAAAATGCTCTGATAATTATAATACAGAGTAATAAATTTAGATTAATTAAAATAAAATAAATATTAATAATTGAAATTCATTACCAAATGTTTAACTTAAAAAAAAAAGGAAATATATTCTCCTCACTATATATGAAGATTAATAAAGTCGCATAAATTGGATATTTTGTAGAGTAATGCTAAGGTGATGTGATTAATTATTATTATCTTACGAAAATCGTTTAAGAAACAAGTGATGAAATCTGTCTATTATTAAGTCAAAAAGCCAAAGCTTAAAGCTGGATAAAGTAGATAAAGAAGAAATTACTTTGATGAAGTTTTTGCAATCGGCTAAAATTTGCCACTTTTCACCAATTACTATGACAATTAAGTATTTTTTTTTTCAGAAAAGAAAAAAGTATATATTTTCTTAAGACCTTGTAATCATCTAATTAGTGACCCAACTTTGTGTCGGGGGCTACCTACTTTCAAGTTTCAACTAAGGATTAGTCACTGGTAAAAATTACTGTATGAGAGATTAGTTTCAAACTGTTTTAGATAAACTAGTTTTTTGCCGGGTGATGCGTTAAGTTATTGATTAAATTTGTTAAGTCAGAATGTTAAATCGCAACACATATTATTGAAATAAATCATATACTGAAATTGATTCCATGGAAATTTGTCAAATAAAGCCATTTAAAATACCAAATTTGTAAATTACAACCTTTTGAAATACGGTTTTTTTCACTAAATACCCCTAAATACTTTGTTAATTCACTATATACTCATGAAACTTTCTAAATACACCATATATTCTTGAGTACTTTGATAATTTACCATATGCCCTTAATAACTAACGGACATTAACTCCGTTAGTCATTAAGGGTTTAGTATGCCACGTGGCATCTTTTTTATTGGCTCTCTTTTAATTACTTAATTAATTGTTAAAAAAACTTTAAAGTTTTTTTTTTTAAAAAAAACTTTATTAAAAAAAGAAAAAAAACCCACACCCCAGCCACCACTGCCACTACCCCAGCGTCCCTTGTCCCCTCGCCGGCGCCCAGACCACCTCATCCCGGCGGCGCCAGGCCTCCCCCTTGCCGGTGACCACCACCCTGTTAGTCCCACCCACACCCAAGATCCCCAACTTCCCCCAAACTCACACATTGTTGCGCAAGAACCAAACCCCCTCCCCCGCTTTCAGCGGCGCCGCCTGCCGTTCCCACACTAGTACATAACTAACCTTAAGTAACACCCAAAAAGTATTACATAAAGTGGTAAAAGTAGTATTATAGACAATAGGTAACACTTTAGTGGGTGATACATCCGCCCATGTTACCTAAGGTCTTATGTAACACTTTGGGTAGCGTATGGTAACACTTTTAAAAGTGTTACTATAAACCCTCTTATGTGACACTTTTTAATAGTATAAGTATCATTTTTAAAGTGTTACTTTTTATTTCTTACGTAACACTTATGTATCTTTAGTAACACTTTTAATCATATAGTTACACTATCTGACATTGTGTAGCACTTTTACGAACTAATATAACACCTTGTTGATTATTAGGTAACACTTTTCAATCATCTTTTGATATATAGTATCACTATATTGGACATTATGTATCACTTTTTGCAAAGTAAGGTAGCACCTTGTTAAATTATTGGTAACATTTATTATTATTCACTAGTAGAAAGTGTAATGGGCACTAGTTCAAAACCGGCTTAGGGCTTCAGTTTTGAACCGATGCCTTTTTGGGGGTTGCCCATGACAGAGGTTTTATCCACCGGTTCAAGGGCCAAAATGGTGCCCTTAATGTCAATAAAGGGCACAAGTTCTTCCCTTGAACTGGTGCCCTTTATGCCCAGAAAAGATAAAAAAAAAAAAAAGTAATATTGATAGACAAACCATTATATATACATATATAAAACATAGATAATTTTATTAATAAATGCTTGTAATATTACAATTACAACAAATAAATAAAAAATTACAATGTGCAAAACAATAGCAGCTCGAAAACAGAGCATCGGTAGCTCGGAAACAGAACAACAACAACTCGGAAGCTGAACATCAGCAGCACATAAGCCGACCAACAGCAACAGGCAACACCAGCAGCAGTAGCATCAAGCAAGCATCAAAACCTAAGGACATATACTTACTATGAAGAAGTGGACAAGAATTTACTTCTCTCTACATTAATTCAGCTATAAGGAAACAGCTTAATACTACAGCTTATAAGTTGGAAGAATAGACAATATTACAGCTAATAACAACCTTTTCCTCTGATCATTCTAAAGTTTGGATCTGAATAACACGAAGAAAAAAAAATCTCTTCTTAAAAATAAACTTGTGGTACTGTTTGTGCCTTCAATAGAAACAGACTGAGATGATACTTGCTACACTTGTTCACTAGAAGTGTAGACTTCATGAGTGGTTCTTGAGGTATATGTTTTCATATGCAAGCTACTTAATGACTTATGAAACAATTAAAAAGATATGCCAATGATAACTGACATGTGTGCTGTGCTAACAACTGTCATCAAATTGAATGTTGAATAGCATACTTAGACATACAACTAGGTCATTGTCATGGGCGAGCATAACTTCACTTATAAATACACACCAGAAACAAGGGAGAGTATTAGAACCAAGTCCTAGTCTAAAGTTCATTATGAGATGTTAAATTTACAATTTACCAGGCTTATAGTCAATAATCACAGAGAGAAGAATGCAGTGTACCTTGAAACTGCTGCAGACTATATATTGAGTTGTCAATCCCTTGAGCATGATAGATGACGCAGTACTAGCAACTATTTGAATTGTTCTCGACTTGATCGAACATTGTTCAATATTCAGAGTTCAGACTATAAAGTCCTACATAGTAAGACCAAGAGAATTGATTTGAGTATTTCATGGAATAACTGAAACCAAATCAGAACATATAAAAAAAGAAAATTTTCACCTTTGCAGTTATACAATATGGTGGACAGGTAAATTCCACAAGCATCACTCAAACGGTTTGCTGATATGTTTAGAACCTCTAATCGACTAAAAAGCACAGGGCACTCACATCACAAAATCTGAGAATACAAAAGAGAACGATATATAGAAAAATCAAATGTAAACTAAAAAGAAAAGACACTAGTACATAATTAACCTCAAGTAACACCCAATTGAAGGTTAGTGTGAATTTTGTAGGATGCTTTGAAACTCATTTAAATTTCTTCTTTAAAATTTTTAATGTCCACGATCAATTTTTTTTTTAATCTAATTCTGAAACAACACAATTCAGATTACCAAGTACTCCCATGGACATTATTGATTCATTTAAAAGTGTTAAATTTTGCTGTCTTTTATTCTAAAGTTATTTTATTTACCAGTCACTTATTTGCTGTTCCTATTCATTGTTGTAAGATTCAGACTGTCTATAGTTCTTATAATTCAAGTCCTTCATAGAAATAATTCATTTTGGGATTTATTGTATCTTGCTTAATGGATTCTGAAAATGGCTTGGAAAGGAAAAAACAAGCAGTTCAGTTCCAAGGAAATTGCTAAAAATTCTGAAATTCAAGTGTGATAAAGATCCTTACGTACAATGTGTGGTTCAGAGAAAACTTAGAGGTGCATAAGAGGATGCAAACTATCGCTGAGCTTATTCAGCTACACTCTCCTGATGTTATCTATTTTCAAGTTTCTTTTTGTGGTTTTACAAATTTCATGAGATAACTGCTATTTATTTCTATGATATCTAGCATATGTAACTTGTTTGTCTTTGGCTTTTTAGTAGGTCACTCCCAATATCTATGACATTTTTCAAAAGTCTATGTGGTGGAAGATATATTAGTGTTCTGTCACCTCTCAAAGAGCATCCTATGAGATGTACTAATGCATTCAGATGATTAATCTCAATTCCCCTTAAAGACCTCTTCACTAGGAAACATTTTCACTTGAAAACAGTTTCACTTGACTTAGCTTGTTCTAATTATATTCTAAAAAAGAAATTGCACTTAGATCAGAGAATTCTACACGAATGGCATCAAAACAGTCTAACATTACAGTTGTCATGGCCAACTTCACTACTTGTATCCAACCAAAATCAGCTTCAGTAAAAAAAAAAATCTAAAATTGAATTTGAACCCAACAATATGTCCAACCATATTTATCTAATAATTTTAATTAAAACTTTGACCAATTGTCTCCCAAAATTCTCACTAATTCAAAATCAAGATCACCCACATTGGGGGGGGGGGGTGTGATGAATGACTTTCAAAATTTATTGATCAGAATAAACAACAAATCATACTTCGTATAATTAGAAAGAATAAATCAATATAATATGATTGAAATTCAGGTTTCAATAAAATAAATCTTTAAATATCAAAGATAAAGGTACTGAAATAAATCAGAGGAGTTGGAGGTGAGCTATTGAAGAAAACCTTGGTTGATTAAAAAGAACTGATAATGAGACTAAAAGGTTGGTTCATTTCTACCTCAAATGCGGACAACTCTGCTCCACCCATGGTTATGTACGCCATTGACGAACCTTTTTTAAAAACCTATAACAATTCCCTTAAGATGTTGGTTGATTTCTACTCGAAATGCGAGATCTCTACCTCGATCACCAGGCCCATTGCTATGGCCACCACACTGACGAAACAATAAAAACCCAAGAAGTTTCGCCTTAGATAAAAAATAAACGTATAAGAGAAATAAATTACCACAATTTGGAATTGATTAACTCAATCAAATGCCTATTTAAAACAACAATTTTCATCAAAACCATCATATACCCAAGAATTGAACAACAATTCACAAAATTGTAATAGAAAGAAGAAAATTCGAAGAAAAAGGGTGAAATTCAAGTAATAGCGGAAATAAGAATGAATAACAAAACACTAATCAATAATCAAAATTACTTAATCTTTAAAAACCCTAAAATTTTACCCCTTGCATTGAATAAGCACCAAAAAAACCCTAGATTGAAAATATTGACAATGCGAAATCAAATATCAAAGAAAACTCACAACTTTTTATTGTTAAAAGTGGCGTGTTTTCTGCAGTTGACGCTGCTCTTTTGATGGTCCATCTCGCCGGTGCTATTTACTGTGACGCGGGTCCTCCAGCTACTCCATCCTCTTCCTTCGCATCTTGTTTTGCCTCACCTTAGAGGAGAGAGAAGAAGACATTTAAAAAGGGAAAACTGAAACCAAAACAGAGAAAAAAGAAAAAGAAAGGACAAAAATCTCATTTGTTACTAGGGGTGATATAGAAATAGGTTAGTGACTTAGTATTACCATATTTTTCCACAAAAAAAAAAAAAAAAAAAAAAAAAAAAAAAAAAAAAGAAGTTTAGTGTTACCATAAAATGTTACGTATTTCAAAAGTGTTACTTTATAATGTTACTTATGATAAAAGTGTTACATTGAGTGTTACATTCTAAAAAAATGTTACCAAAGTGTTACTTATAAATCTAATAATTTTTCATTTCAAAAAGTGTTACTAAAACGTGTTACATAAACTCAATTATGTACTAGTGCCAGCTTCCCACCCTTGCTATTTCCCCTCCCCAAAAGCCTAGATCCACACCCTCCCTTTCCCTAACCCTCAAAACAACCCCGGCCACCCTGAACCTCACCAGCCCCGAAAAACCCGAAAGCCCTAAAAAACCCCACCTGAAAAATCCCGATTGGCTCTCCCCCATCCTTGAAAATCTAGCCACTAGAGTTTTCGAGGGTGGGGGAGGGCCGATCCGGGTTTTCCAGGGGTGGGGCTGGGGTTTCGGGTTTTTAGGGGAGTGGGTTTCGAATGGTTTTGTAGTGGTTTAGGCGGAAGGGGAGGATCGTCGATGGCAGGGGGAGGGGCGGCGTCGGCGGGGGTAGGGGTTGGGCGGGAGTGGTAGCTGATGTGGGGATAGTGGCTGATTTTTTTTTAAAAAAAATTTTAAAGTATCATCCACCACCCACAGATCGCTCCAAATACTTATCTTTGAACTGTTTCCCACCCTCTATAAGGTTCCACTCTTGATAAGCTCTTTTGCACTTAAGATACTTCTCCATGAGTAATTACAATTTTGGCTCAATGAAGCATCAAGGAAAGAGCAGTTAGGAAAATATTTAGTTTTGAGAACCTTACCCAAGAGTGAGCTAGGATGTCGTAGAATGCGCCACCCTTGTCTTCCGAGCAGGGCCAAATTAAACATTTCGAGGTCCCTAAACCCATCCCACCAAAACATTTCGGCGTGCACATGTACTCCCATCTCTTCCAATGAACCTTCCTCTTATTATCAATTTGTCCCCACCAAAACCGAGCCATGGCCGAGTGCAAGCTAGCAATGAAGGATGTCGGGGGCTTGTAAACCCCCATGAGATGGGTAGAAATTGCTTGAATTACTGACTTTAGAAGAATTTCTTTGCTGGCTCGTGAAAGGAGCTTTTCCTTACACCCTTGAATTTCTTCCATATCCTATCTAAGAGAGCCCTAAAAATCGTCTTCTTCGATCTCCCTGCCAGAGTTGGGATCCCCAAATATTTGTCGTGCCTGTCAACTTGTCGCATGTTCAAAATCATCATAAGCTCCTCCCTTCTTTCCACACCTACGTACTCCTGTACTAAAAGAGACTTTCGACTTATCATAGTTAATTTTCTGTCCGAAAACTGCTTCATACTGGTTGAGGATATCAACAATGTTTGAGCATTCTGTCGGGTGGCTCTTGTGAAAAGGAGACTGTCTTCTGCAAATAAAAGGTGAGAAATTTCCGCCTAATTCTGCAAGCTCTGGCAACATGGAGCACTCTTTCCTGAACCTTCTTCTGAATCATTCTAGAAAATCTGCTACCAAGATAAACAAATACGAGGAGAAGGGATCTCCCTGCCTGAGGCTCCTAGTCGGGACCACATTACCACACACTTCACCATTCACCACAAAAGAATAGGAAACCATTGATACACAACTCATAATCAGATTGACCCACCTACCATCAAAACATATCGTGAGTAATAGCTTTTGCAAGAAATCCCATTCTACTCTGTCATAAGCTTTGCTCATATATCAAGTTTCATAGAAACAATACCCTTTCCTGCTTTTATTCCATTTTTCCATGGCGTGGAAAATCTCTAGGGAAACAAGAGCATTATCTGTGATAAGCCTCCCTGGGACAAAAACACTTTTTTTTCCGACACAATATCAGGAAGAACATTTTAAGTCTAATAACCAAAGCTTTCGACACCAACTTATAAATCGCATGCGTAGAGCTATTGGCCGGTACTCTGTAATAGAAGTGGGGGATTGAACTTTTGGGATGAGAACAATATTAGTCATATTTACACAACTAGGAGAAGTGATGCCATATAAAATATTACTAACGAAATTAAAAATGTCATCCCCCACAATATGCCAAATCTTTGATAGAAAATAGCATGCATTCCGCCCGGCCCTGGAGCTTTGCAGGGATGCATTTGTTTGAGTGCTTCGTACACCTCGTCCTTGGTGAAAGGCTGAAACAGATTATTGTTTATATGCTCATCAATGCACGGCTCCACCAAAGAAAGAACTTCTTGCAAATCCGAGTGGGACACAGAACTTGCGGTGAAAAGACCTTCATAATAGTAAAAAATTATGCCCTCAAGATCCTCTTCATTGGTCTTCCAATCACCTGCATTGTCATAAAGGCCAGCAATACGATTTTTCTTCTTCCGTCGTGAGGCTTTATGGTGAAAATATTTCGTGTTCCGGTCTCCATCTCGCACCTCGGAAACTCTAGAGCGAATAAACCAATATGCCTCCTACCTCTCACAAAGCTCTTCCAGTTTACCTTCGAGCATCACACATTCTTCATAGCTCTGCTTCGAGATTGGTTTTCTTTGAGCTGCTTGGAGTTTCTGCTCGATTTTATCAATTTTCTCACCCAAATTGTGGAGGCTTTTTCCACTCCACTCTACCAAACCCCGACCCACCGCAACTAGCTTCTCAAAAATAGGCCTTTCATCCGCCATGTCCCACGCTTTTTTTAACCGTCAGCTTACAATTCTCATCCAACATCCATCCTGTCTCGAATCTGAGTCACTACCCGTCTTCTTCTTTTTTTCTTCTTTTTTATTACAGCTTTGTGGCGAAGAAGCATAGTAGCATGTTCAGACTTGACTCAGACCAAATGCTCCACAAAAGCTCTTGGGTAAATTTGTAACACCCCCAAATCTCCCTCTACATAAATACTAGTATAATACGTATAATTATACCGTAGAGATAGACTTAGGCGTATTACCGCCACGTGATTACGCCAGGCTACTCAAAATACTTAACTCAATAATAAAACTTGCAGCAGAAACTCAACTTTCTTTTATTAATAATAATATAAATAGAAACCATCATCATGAGTACTCATAATTAGACAAAGACCAACATTCCTAATCTAGGTGAAGGACATTCCCAGGACTCCCATATGCTCAAATCTAGACTCCACCTGAAATTAGTCAATACTGCTTACCATTACGGTAAACAGGGCGAACCAAAACAAATAAGAAATACGGATTAACAAAATATGCTAAGTACGATAAGTGCAAGATAAGTAAATTCAATTTATTTGCAAACATGCTTTTAAAACCAATTCCAATAATTAATCCAATGAATTCCAAAACTCATGATTCAAAACCAATTCTCAATAATTCAGTAATTCGATAAACCGATTTATAAAACCAATTCCAATAATTCAATATTTCAATAATCAATTCAATAAAACCAATTCCTCACCCAAGTGTGCACACCCCCCAAGCTAGTCTCCTTATATTGCAAGGCTATTCTTGAGGAAAGACTCGGTCATACAAAGTCCAAAGTCTTATCAACCAAATCCACATAGTGGGGTTACTAACAACATGCTTGTAAAGCTTTAATAAATAATTCAATAAAATTCCTCTTTGAAAAAAATCAACCTTTATAATAGGTTAACTCAAAACTCCTTTTTATTTAATTCAACGTATTTTCAAAATCACACTTTTAATAAATACTTGAGAATTAAATCTCATATAAATAACTTTTCAAAATCAATAACTCTTCCTTTGAAAAACCTTTTTAAAAACTCTTTAAAACAATCCAGCATACTTTTTTTTTAGAACCAAATTCCTTTAAACATAATAAATAATTTCAAACCATTCAAAACATGATATTAATATCAATCCTTTAAAAATACATTTATTCAAATCAATACCTCCAAACATACTTTATTTCATAAATCTTGATTCAAATCAATTTAATTCAATCACCAATAAAATCATATAAAACATGTTATTCAAACCAATCACTTTCGAAGGTATCTAGCCACCTAAACTTACCTTGATTCCGAATATCAATCAACACTTCGCACTTTTAAACTTCAATCACGAATACACCTTGCAATTAACATAACCATAAGGTTATCACAACATCTTTAGACATAAACTCATATACAATGTGCATGGACTATAAAACTCTTTTAAAAATAATACTTTAATATAAAATTATAACTTTGAAATAGGTATTTATATTTTAGAAAACTAACCATGAAGAAAATAAAGGTAGAGGATTAAAGAGAATTGAATTTGCGTTGGAAAGAATAGGCAGAACTTGCAGATTTCATAACTCCTTTGATATAATTTCGAATTGGGTGATTCTTGAGTCTAACCTCAAGGATTTTTCAAGAGAAACAATTTTCTGTGAAAAAGAAAAACCCCAAAACTGAACAGAAGTGCCCGAAAATTGGATCCAAAGATATACGGATTGATTTTCTTTTATAAAAGAGGAGAAGAAAAGCAGGAAAAGGTTGAGGGAAAAGAAGAGTAAAAGAGAAGAAGAGAATTGAGTTTTTGGTGTGAAGAATATGAGAGGTATGAGAGGGTATTTATAGGCTAGCTCATGCAAGAATTATGGCAAAAAGAATTAAGGAATTACTTGGAGAAAAGAATGAAAGAAATATGGAAAGTTTTGATATTAAGGTGATTAAGAATAATAGAATTTAGGAAAGTGTGTTGTCATGAAAAATAATATGGAAAAAGAGATTACTTGGGGAATAATCAAGGAAGATATAAGGTAGGAAAATAAGATGATCAAATATTTAGGAGATGGAGAAATAAAATTAAGGAAAATAAGAGATTTTAAGGAGATAATTAAAAAAACAATTTTTCAAAATTAATCACCCAAAATTTGACCATGAGGGCCGAAAATATTGAGCTTCCATAGCTCAAATTTTTGGATCCTATTAGTATATTTTAGGGAGTTATTTTTCTAGATTTAAGGAATTAAAAATAATTGTGTAAATAATATTTATTGTATAAAATAATTAATTAAAAAGATACCAATTATTCACTAAATAAATTAACCTAGAAAATCAGATTTTCCACACTAGGAAAATCCAAAAATCTTAGTCAATAGTTAGTAATTTTCGGACCTTATCAATTAAATAATAAAATATAGTTTTTTCTTTAATTAAAATATCCGAAATATATAAATAATCTGGTTTTTAAAATAAATTAAATGGATAATAAATCCTATCCAAAATCTAAAATAATTATTGAGTTTTAAAATGTATTTGGCGCCAAAATTCAAATATCATTTTGGCTCCAAAATTCAAATAGTAAAATAAATTACTAAGATACCCTTTTTAGAAAATATTAATTAATTAATTAATTAGAAATACGTTTCAAAAATACGGGGTATTACAAAATTAAAGATCGAGCCAGGAA